ATAACTGCATTTGCCTCGTTACCCGTCATCTGTCCATGTAGCTTCCACACTACTGTGGTGCTACTGGGCTCCCTGGTGGGACCTCCTTCTTTTGCCAGCCATGTCACACAGCTAGGTTTCCCAGGGCAGCCAGGCCTAGTCTCTAGACTCTACCTGGTAATGCTCTCTTCACTGCAGATGTTCTGGCTTTAGCTGTGCTTGGCCATGCTCCAGCAACATCTATACACCAACCAAAACATCTACAGCCAACCAGATGGCTTTGCAACAAGTCCCTGTGGAAAACCATGTTACATGCACTGCCGTGGCCAGGGAAGAGACATCTCTGCTTCACTGCAGAGGTGGCAGACAGCTGGAGGTCAGGGATGGAATATTTTCCTAGCTATCCAGCCCACCATTCTGCAGTCTACCTCCAACACCTGTCAACATCTTTTCTTATGACAACACATGCTGGGGTCTGGACATCACCAGCTTTGTCACCGTCTACAGTCTCTAACATCCACCTATACACCCACCAGACTGTTTAGCAGGGGTAGTTGATGGCTGGGCTGATGCTTTGATATCAGCGTAAAGGCTTATTTTTTCACAGCTCTTCTTTTACTTGGCTGAAAAACCCCTTACAGCAGTTGTCAGCCAAAGGAAATTAGTGTTTTCTCTGCTATGGAGTCTAATTGGTTTTTCCTCTACTGACAGCTCTTCAAGCTACATTTAGGGAGCCAGCAAAACTAGACTGAATGCTATTTGGCTGAGACTATGGCCTACTTGCCATACACACAGTAATGACCAAAGGGAAGGGGCCCTTTAATTTACTTTCTGCTGCAAAAACTACAGAATGTGAGCAAATAGCAAGCCCATCGTATAAAATACACCCTACTTAAGATGTATATTAACTGTGCGATCAAAGGCACCTTTAGAGACCAACACCACTCATAACAAATGCAGAAAACTAGATCTCCAGTGAGCAAGACAGAGGGATTTAATTCATTTCCTTAAGTGAAGTCTGTTAATTTATACCCAGCTGTCGTGATTTGTCCGATTACTCATCTGCTCACACCATTATAGTCAGCATGTAGCTTTGCCAGCTCTGACAATGTTTCACAATACTTTGTGAAATCAGCACCTCCTGGAACTAAACAGCTGTGGAAAAAGCTAAACTTTTATTTAAACCAGCAAGGTTCTTGACCTCTTTTTTACAAAGAAAAACATGAAAATATGACCCAAACACAAATTGTTCATGCAGAAAGAAATAAATCGTTAGGTGCAGTACTCATTACTTTTGAGCATAGTACATCTGTTGCTGTTCCTGCAAGTGACTTCTAAACCTGAAAGCTGGTGTTCCTCTTACCTTGTGTAAGGAATCAGAGCATCTGGGAATTCAGGCTCAGCGTTAGCCTGTGAATCTGGCGTATGCCAAACAGACCTATTCCATTAGCACCGTCTCAGTTAAATTATCAGGCATGTAAAAAAGCGCATACATACACACAAGTTTAAAATAAAATTTTGATTCCTTTAAACTAAAGTGAATTTTGTTCCTATTCTCTATCCTTCAAAAAAAGAATAAGTTTAGCAGAACACAATCAAGCAGCTTTTCATGCTATGGGTCATCTCTTCAGCACATATGTTCTCCCTGACTGCACTCAGACAGCTTTCTTCCAACTTTTCTCACTGACCTGTTTTAGGTTATCCTAGGATAATCATATTTTTCCTCTTACCTGTTTTCAGTCGGGGTTCTGCAGCTATTTTTCCTGTTGAATCCACAGGGCACAGCATCAGCCACAGGCTAGGAGGATCTGCTTTCTACCTCTACCTTTCCCCACACACACACTCCTTCCTGTAATCCATCCTTGGCAGAATCCAATTATCCAAGAATAAATTTGCCAAACATAGGAGTTGTTTCACCCACACACAATCAATCTCCATTTCACCACGAATTGCCATTTTCTCACCAGTGACAATGTATCAATTTGCATTACCCCAAGGAATAACAGTATCACTTTTTACCAGGGCCTCTTCCTCCCAGCCTGAACTTCTCTACTAGTTTTCTGCAACATCATCTTCTGATCATGTGAAGCACAGCTGAGTCTCCTCCTGTCAACAAAGAAAAAAAACCTTTGCTCACGCACTTACAGCTTTGTACCTCAGCCATTGCTCTGTGAAACTCCAAGCTCCAACCCTGTAACACCCAGCAACATTTCTATACCTCCTCTAACTGCTTACATTTTCAAGTTCTTCACTCGCTTATGTTTTTCTCAATTTAAAACTATGCACAGCTTCTCAAAGGATAAACGTTATCAATTAAAACCCATTCCTGCACCAGCACACTCTCTTCTTTTTACATCTGTCAGCCACATAATGAAGTTGTATTTCACCAGTGGGGCAGTCGCGTTGTTACCAAAACTCTCGCTCAAAAGCGAACACCTCTGTCCACCCATCTGTTCTGATACCCGCTCTGAATGTGCCTGGAAACGCGCCTGGCACGAAAGGCCAAAGGAGAACTGAGCTTTCTGGACAAGCTGCAGGCCAAACAGCAGATGAATGGTAGGAGACCCTGCCGAAGTAAAGGTTGAGTGGTGGTGATCAGCAGATGACAGATTAAGAAACAGCCCAAGGCCAGCTGATGCACATATTGTAGACATACCAACACCACAGTAAACTCCCTCTAATACTTTCTGCACCCCATCCCCTTGCCATGCTCTTCTGTCTAATGGTTGGAGTTCTGGCATTAAAAATTCAAGACTCTGTATCCAGCCATGGTAACCAGATGCTGACCCTTTGTGGTCTATTTTCTTTTTCTACTTTACTGCTAGGTGGTTCCTATTATTCTTTACCTCATTTTTTGACCAAGGTACCAAAAAACATTAATGCCACACATGGCACCACATCAGAGGAAGAGTATTTGTGGCTGTCTTGACTGATCTATGACAATTAAGAGAATTTTAGAAATGGATTATAGAAAAGTTTTCTTAAATCCTTGCAATTAATATAGAACATTAATGTAAGTACTAGCCAGTCAGCCTTGAATTCCTGTTTCCATCATCCTTTCAACCTGCAGCTCAGGCTAAACAGTAAAAATCTTCTTAAAAACCTGCTGCATATTCTCATGTTCTGTGAATAGTAAAATGTTCAAAGGTGCATCCCACAGGATCACAGGCACTGAACAGTGCTCTAAAGGGTTCAGGATGTGTCAATGCAGTCCAGAAAGGCTCCAAAAGCAATGGGCAAAGGCTAGTTTTTGTGGACAAGACAGTGGGCTTTCCTCTATTTTCCAGTTCTTGGCAACAGGTATTTTTAAAGCATGCTTAACACACGTTATATATTTGGCCGTTAGACTATTGGTAAACTGTCAGTGTTAGACCAGGAGGGAAAGAACATTGGGGAAAATATGGCCCTTTTGACATTCTGAGAGTCGGAAGGAGAGATTTCAATTCCCAGATAATGACATGGCTCCAGCCTTCTAGGACAACCCGTACTAACCATTCATTCCTACTCCTTTCCTCCTTGAAAAGGATTGCTGAGGGATGCAAGGCCAAGAGAGATACAAAGGCTATATATGCCCACATGATCTTCAGCTACAGGACTGCCCGGGCTGAATTAATTCAGACTAGTGTTAAGTGCCATTCCAAACAGCTTAGGTTTCAACCCCATGCTGCCATGCACACTGGATCAAGCCTTAAGCTCAGTTCAACTTAACTCAGCCAAGGACATTCCAGTGGACATCCACCAAGAGAAGTGCAAATTAAAAATGTTGTCTCAAGCTTTCAAAAAGGTTTCAAAGTACTTCTCCCCCTTCTCTAATTTTGATAAAGCAAATTTGTCCACAAAGAATAATTCATTTTTTTGTCCACAGACATTTTCTGTCAAGTAACTTCTACGCAGAAAAAGTTAAAAAAATTCAAAGGCATCTTTAAAATTTACTTTTTATTGTGAATTCTTTACACCTACAGAATAGACATGAGTAATCTAAAACATTTTATAGAGAAACAAGAGTAAAAAAAGTCAGGTGAGGAGTTGTTTGTAATTATATCCCTGTCATCCTTAGGATATTGGTTTTAAATTCTCTCCTCAGCTCCTTTTTAATCTAATGATTTTTCTCCTACATCTCATCACCCTTGACTGCAGTGACAAAGACACAAAACATATCTTTTAACATGGCCGTAAGTGGCTTTTCATGGAGACATAGATAATAGCTTATCTGATTTATAGGACAATTTTCTTGCCATGTGTTTGAAAGTCTGAAGAGATGGAGGATCTGTTCCTCAAATACTTTACTTCAAGCACCAAGATAAGAGAGTTCTACTGGAAAGAATGTAAGTCAGCCCAGTCCGAGACAGTTGCATGCCTTTCTAGAGATGGAATATAATTCAACACCGGAGGAATTCCTCAGATTGAAGCACACCTTTCTCCTCCCTTCCCTGGTAGGGCCACCGAAGTCAAAAGAAGGAGCTTTTGCTTCCCTTGGCTACAGCAAAACTGCTATAATCATATAGCTGCACCATTCACAGTCAG